TTCTCTAACACAAAAGTCGCTCGAAAAATTAGAATAACATTAAATAACAGCTAAACAGAAATATTTCTAGGGGGGGGGCTCAAGCAGTTCTGGAGGGGGCTCAGCCACCCCCAGCCCCCCTCGTGGTTACGCCACTAACTAGAACCAGTAATGAAGAACAATTTTTTTTTCGTTCTCTCTCTCTCTCTCTCTCGTCTCTTTCAAGCACGCTTTTAATATCAGCAATGGATATCAATGGACCTCTACTCTGCATTTTTTTAATGGAACCAAGTTTATTAATTGTTTAACACTAACTGTAGCTTAAATTCAACAATATTATTTCGAGAGCCCAGAAAAAAGAAGCTTCGTATCTATTTAGTGATTGTGAAAGAAATAATAAATGAAACCATAGAAGAGAGCCGAGGAGAATATAACAAATCTCAAACGCATAATAATGAATTGACGTTGCTATAAAAGCAATATTCACACCAAAATTAAAATCATAGAAATGAGAGACAATCTTTGATATAACAATAAGAATTACTGAATTAAATCGTAAAAAAGTTTTATTTTTATTTCAAAAAATGTTTCTGACTGCCATTCAGTTGGCTTTTTCAGAAATTAGTCATTTCTTTTCTTTCTCTTCTGTTTATGAGCACGATAGTTTGACAATGTTTATATCAGAACATGCTGAAAAGAGAATGACGATATATCGTATACAATCAAATTAGACTGAACATTCTTGTTATTTTTTTTCTTCGACGAGGTCATGTACTGCACTCTTGACTGACCGTAATTGAACTGGGCAAACGAAAAAAAAGAAAAAATATATAAGCGCTGTCAAAAAAGCGTCGCAACGATCAGAAGCGAACATGAATCGTACTGACATTCATCTACTTGATCTACCTGTTGAGATATTACTAAAGATCTTAAAAAGATTGAACAATATGGATGTTCTCTATTCACTAATAGGAGTTGAAGGACTTGACCTTCTAGCACAAGATGATATTTTTACAAACACTCTCAATTTTGTGTTGACCGATAATGGTGATTATTATTCAATTAATGAACCAATACTAAATCGATTTTGTAATGATATATTACCTCGAATTCAATATAATGTTAGATCTCTTTATTTGGAAACAACAACTATGGATCATATTTTACGTGCTGGTGTTTATCCGAATCTTACTAAACTCAAAATATTCAAATTTCATGAAAATTTTCTTTTACATTTTGGTACAGGTAAATAACTTATGAATTTATTTATCTAATAAATGAAATTAATAGGAGTAAAAAAAAATAGAAGATTAGGATATCTATTTGTGTTTTGTGTTTAGATGAATTACTTTTCCGATACAACTTCAAAAAACAAATTACAAATCTTACATTAGTCAGTGATTACGGTGGTAAAGTAGGAACTCTAGATCAGACCACAAATGTATTTATAAAATTACTTGATTTCTTTGAAAATCTAAACTATTTGAGCTGTATTGGATCATCTGTTACTGGTAATCCAGTTTTATCATTTGTTGATTTACCATTAAATACTTTTGTTTCTTCAAATCTAACTAAATTATGTGTTACTGTGGATAGTTTTGGAGATTGTCTTCGTTTACTTGATGGTCGTCTCAATCAATTATCTACATTTATTGTTATTATCATTAATGCCAAAGATTATTCATCGATGGAATTCAACTCAGTAAGTTATGCAAATCCAATATTGTTTGTTTTATGAGCGATTAGCTTTTATAATCGATATATGCATATTTGTTCGATAGAATAAAGTACTTAATGTAGAAAGGTTTCTTTTGGTCTAATATTTAATTGATAAATACTAAAGTATATTGATACGATTTTAATTAGTATCATCTATTCATTAGTTTATAATATCTCAATATAAGTCATCATGTTTTAATCTACTAAAAGTTTATATGTTTCGTTTATTATTATAAAAAAGTTTTGTACGTAATCGAGTGATTAAAAAGTTTTACGAAAAATTGTAAACATCTAATTATCATTTTGAATTGTGAACCTTTTTCTTTCTGAAAGTGATAACTGATTATATTGTATGTTTTAGAATGTTCTACATCATTTGAAATGTTTTTCATTGACGTATGAATCTTTAACCAATGAATATGATAATCAAGTTGCACCTCTTCTTCATCGAATGTGTAATCTTCAGGATTTAACATTATATATTCAAATCGACAAACGGAATAGACTTGTAGATGGCATTCAACTTGAAAATGATATTCTTATTCATTTGTCAAAACTTGAAACATTCGCTTTTTATATCTGCACTTGTACTAGTGCCAATCATCCTGTTACTTTATCAAATGATGATATTCAACGAACATTTTCTAATGTAAAATTTGGACAAGTTGGTTGTAGTATGAATTATGTCAATGAGTCTGATATAACATACCATGTTTTCTCACTTCCTTTTAAATTTGATCGTATACGATTTATTGGCAATAGTTTTACGAATACGATATTCAAGGATGTTACTTTTTTATGTGTATTTGACTGGATTCCATTCGAACATGAATTTTTTGTTCGACTGGCTCGATGTTTTCCATTATTGAAAACATTAATTATTGTAAATTGTAAAGCACAGTCAACAGATTCAGCTAAATCTAAACATGACAATAATGGACCATTTGAAGTTGTCCAATATCTTCATCTTACATCACTTGAGTTTGGCCGTGCACATATTGATTATGTTGAGCAAATGTTAAATGAATCAAAAACACGTTTACCTTGTCTGACACAATTATGGATTGATTATCATCAATTGAAAACCGTAACAAATAACTTTACAAGAGATGCAACAAGACTTAATTGTATCAATATAGAAGAATTAGATTTTCACAGTGGTAGCGATCACGACGATAGCGATGATCACTTGATAATAGCACAATCAAAAGACTTTCATGTTTATTTTCCTTTGTTAAAACTTTAATTTTTTGTAATTATTTGAATATAACGAAAGAAAGATTAAAAAGTTTAATTTTATTATGATTACAAAAAATCCTATTAACTCAAGTGCTGGTAGCAGGGAACAACAATCACGAGAAGCGAGCACGGCAACTGCAAAGAAAATGAAAACTTTCTGTTCTGACTGTGACACTTTTTTGTTTTGATTATTTGAACGAGAAGCAACATGCTATGGAATAAAGGGTTCAAAACATACCTAAGACAGCAGATGACACATTATGTGTAAACCTCCTGTCCAAGAAAAACAAGCAAATGTAAGTGTTTTTCTATAGTTTCTTCATAAAATATAGTGTGGCGCGCATCGTCGCGAAAGGGTTAATAGAAAATACAAATTTGTTTTGTAATCTTCTAGGCTATTGTCCAATGCATATAATGACATGCGCCATTTATTGTCCATTTGTTCCCGTCAATTCAATTTTTCCAAGACAAGTCAATGGTTGCATAAGAGATAGTGACTGCGCTTCCAATAAAAAGTGTTGTAGACCGACGTGTGGATGTACTAACAGATGTGCTAAAGCTTTAGAAAAGCCAGGATTTCAAACTTTTTCTTGAAAAAAGAATGATTTGCACTTTCTCTTGGTTAATTGATATTAAAACAATGAAATCCTGTGATTTTCAATGAATTATTTTGATTTGAACATTTGAATTAACAAATTAGTTATACATTGAGATAAATATAACATCCATGCAATAATGAGCAAGTATAAATTATGAGTAATTTAATATTTGAAAGAATTTTTATTCATTCGTTATATGATTGATGATTTTTCAAACAAAAAGTTGTCTTGATTATTTCAAATTTCTGATAGCTTAATAGTATTTTCAGTGTGTAATCAATTGAGATCGAATTCTACGAGATTGTTGATCATTTTTAGTGTTTAACGTCTTCATAGTAACATCAGCTCATAGAGAATGTTATTGCGATGTAAAATCTACTAATGAATTAGGTTTGATAGTTGCTACATATTGCACATTCACCGATACAGTTTTGCCATATTGAATCAAATAAATATAAGACGTTCAATAAAACATCGATACAAATCAAGTTCTCTCAAATATTAAAACTATTATATCAAATTTAATATTGATAATGGTATTTTACTTTTTGCTATTGAAGAATTAGACAATAAAATTAATATAGATACATACTTATAACATTTGTAACAATAATAGTTTCAATAATTATCTATAAACTACTAATTTATATTGATTAGATTACGATATACCATAAAAAAATATTAAATAATAAATAATTGAAACTATTCTATAATAATTACACAGAAAATGTTTCAAAATAGGATTTATTTCAACATTTACAATGATAATATGTGACTAAACAAATGGTTCATATGAAACTTGAAGTACTCGAAGGTACTAGACAAGAATGTTGTCATCCTAATTATATATATGTTCTATGAAATCGTTCTTCTAATATCATGCAAATGAACTATCTATATACCGAAGATATGAATTTTTAGTCTTTTTCTCTAAATATTGTATTGTTACTCCATCGAATAATATAATACTTTTATTAAAGTGTCGAACCTTATAAGAAGGTTGGATGCACTGGTTGTGAGTGAGCATCACTGCTGCAGCCTTGCAAAAAAAGAACCAGCATGAAACAAAAACTAAGGTAGAACATAAACATTTGAAAACAGAATCAGAGGGTTTAACATATCACTGAAAATAAGTATGAAAAAGCAAGAGACCAGAAGAGATACAGAAAAAAAGTATGCTAGGAAATTGAATGGATAGAATAGGTATTGATAAAGATGAAATTGTTTTGACTAGAGAGACAGAACAAAAATAGAGAGGAATGAATGATTTTTTGTTATTTTAAATAGTAACAGAGCACATGATCAAAAAGAGAGAGATAGCTTTCAGTCAATAATTTGTGAGTGTGTTTACAATTGCTACCTTTACCAACGATTTTTCCTCTTTTCTTTGATTAACAGCGGGCTTGAAAGATATTCTTTAAAGTATATTATTGACAATTTTCATTGCAAAAACTCTTCTGTAAGACTTGTATCAATCAATTTAATCTAATCATAAAATTTTTATTGTATATGTAATGATATGCGTTCGATATCTTTGCTAATTTCAATTAAATCAGGATGTTCTGGTTTGAAAATCTGTTTACGAATATGAAGTGCTTTTTCATAATGTATTTTAGCTTCAATGAAATCTTTTTTAACTTCATAAACAACACCGATATTTTTAAGTACTCTGGCAATTGAAGGATGGCGAGGAGTAAGAGATTTTTTGAAAATTTCATACGTCAATTGATATTTTTCTAATTCTTGTTCATATTCATGACGAAAATAATGTATATTACCAAGATTGTTGTATGTATTGCCCAAGCAAGGATGTCCATTAGGAAGTATGCTCTGTTTAATATTTAAAGCTTTCGTAATATATGGTAATGCTTCAGAAAACTTTTTCTATTCTAAATAGATAATACCTAAATTGTTATAACACCAAGCTAGATTTTCATGATCATCTGCAAATGTTTGCTTGAAAATATCTAATGCTTTTTCGTATGATTGCAGTGCTTCTTTGATTTCACCTTTCTTTTGATCAACTTCACCAATACTATTATAGATGTATCCAAGTCTAGAATCATTTGATCTGCTTTCTTGTAGAATTTCAAGCGATTTAAAAAGATAAACTAAACTTGTCTCATACTCTCCTTTTTCAAATGATACTTTTCCAAGTGCGTGATAACATTTATAACTGTCTTTATGCTCAGATGATATTTTTTTTAATAATCGACACAAATATTTCTCAGCATAATCAAAACTGGCCATATCAATAAGAACACTTCCAAATAAAGTTAATTTAGTGCTACTCGAGCCATATTGATTTGTCATGTGTGAAAAGGTCGTTTGTAATTCGCATTGATTATCACTACATAAATTCATTTCAATATGCCATATTTTATTATTCTCACAATAGATATTTTTCAGACGAAAAATTGATCCTAACATTATTAATATTTCTTGTTCTTGTTTCAACTAGGACTATAACAGTTCCGAAACAGTTCAGTTCAAAACGATCTGTTCGAACAGTTCGTTTTGAACTGAACTGTTTCCGAACTGTTATAGTCCTAGTTGAAACACACTAATTTTTGAAATATCAGCAAATGGTTTTATACTGTCTTGACCAGGATCGGCGTTAATATCGAATAGAACTCTTTGAAATTTATCATCATTAGTAGATGGATCGAAATAGACAAGAGCTAATTTAAGATTACGAGTAGTTGATAGAAATGAATTCATTGAAATCAGTTTATTTTTTGAATCTCTCAATAAATTTAATTCTTCAATAGACATTAGTTGAGCTCGATAGACATGAACAGGTGATAAATATTGAAGTTGTCGAAGTTGTTTTTCAAGATCACGAATAAAAAACCGGAATAAAATAATAAATCAGTATCCTGAACACGAAGTGCTTTATTCAATAAACGATAGAGAAATGTTTCTCTTGTATACCACCACAATGAAAAGTCTGATGAATAATCTCGTTCGAATTCATCAACGAAATGTAGTTGTGTCTTATCATCTTTATAGAGTTCTCGACATTTACATATAAATTCATCTTTATCTCTTGACGTTGTCTTCATTTTAAGAAGAGAAGTAATTAGTAATTGTGATTGTACAAATTGACCATCAATTTCAGTTGTGGATTGTTCATGATTATTATTTGAATTGAAAATACTAATTAACATTGGTTGATTACATCATCAAATTGTTTATAACCACCTTTTAGCTAAAACAACAAATAAAAATAAAATCAGTAATAGTATTATGAGAAAATAATAATTATTACTTACCTTGCTATACAGTTTATACCGTTGATCATCATATTATTTATTCTCACAATACATGTAAATTGAAAAGATTTGTGGCAGACCATGAACATCAGGTATTAATTGCCGACAAAAGTCGTCATTGACAATTACGATAAGTCAATGTTGTGAAGACACTGATTGAATATACTTTATACATTTATCAACTTCATCGAATGTTTGTAAATAGTTGATCGATAATCGAAGTTTTTTTTTTTTTATCTATGTATTTTTGATAATTGATTAAACTATCGAGCTAAATAAGAGTATATGCTCCAAAACAATTATCTTCCCATGCAAACGATAGGACTTTTTCAAATGAAGATGATTCAGAAACAGATGTCATGAATTCGATTTTTTTCTTCTTTGATTGTTAAATACATCTAACACAACTAATCAAATATACAGCTAAACAATCTTTTCAATCAAAAGCTAGTAGTAACTTGAAAAATAATTCTCATTCATTAAAGAAGAAAGTCTGAAGGTATAAAAGTTACACTTGTTTCAAAGACATACATATGAAGCATTTTTTTTAAACAGAGACAATGAACGTATTTTAATCAAAATAAATAGATATTTTCCATACTCTATTGTATTTTTGGTTAGATATAATACGAATCATTCTCGATGATTTGTATTTAAAACTCTCTAATTATTAAACTAAATTCATCAATAAGGTTTCCATTGATCGATATAAAATATTTAAAAACATCTTAATGTAGCGAACATTTCAACTATTGCAGGTGAAAAAAAAATACATAAGAGAATCATACATTTAAAAAGCATAGTCGAACCTCCTCATAAGATCGTGTGAAATTTTGTAGATTCTTGAAATTTATAAGCGAGACCTCTCAACCGATTAGCTAAGTTATGATTGAAAAATCTAAATATGAGACAAGATAAAAGCGACAATTATCAGTTTGAAAATATTTCTTTTAAGAATTGTACTCAATCAGTAATATTCATTCGCGATTGTTTTGTTATTCGTCATATTTGGTTTTAAAATCTTGGTATGTCACATTTACATGTTATTGAAATAAAAAATCCTCAAAATTAATATCAATATAGGAATCATCAATTATTCATATGTATTAGAGAAATAATTTACATATATTACTCATATTTTTATGTATATTTAGTTAATAACATTCTTGTAGGAGAGCTCACATCAAAGTTTCTACTTTTATACATAAATATTCTTCCATTCATCAATATCTTTTTTGTTCTATTCAATTATGAAAAATAGAAATAAAAAAACAATATTAACAATAATAAGTATCAGATATTATGTATTATCAATTCATTTCAATAACAACCGATAACTTATTTTAATCTGATATTATTTTGTTTTATTCAATATAAATCGTTTTTCAAGGACTCAATCATCTTTATCAACTATCTGATTTATTCATTGATATTTTTCTTATCAGTGCAGTAGAGGATCTTGATTCTAAAATTTTAAAATGATTTATCAATCAATAGAGTATAACATTGAGGTCTTTATTGTAAAAATTTCTCTTTGACAATGACTAAAAACAAATCATTTCACATTCAAGAACTTATGAAAAATTCAGACATATGAAACGAATTTTTCTTATTCTGAATTATTCAATGAAGTCTCTAAACTCTTTGAAATACTATATCAGTTGCCATGTCAATTCATGATCATGTTCTTGAATTTTTATCATCTATATATGCAACCTTTTTCTTTCAATATTATCAACATTCTTTAGCGAAATTTTATTAGAAGTGCAAATTAACTTATTAAATGCAAATAAAAAATTGAGAAAAAGATTTTCAATTTATAGTGAATCTATCTAAGACTTATCGACGATTTTGTGCGGGCAATCTTGCTAATTGAATAAATGTCAACGCAAAAAAGAAGAACGTAATAGCTGCTAATGCTACAAAATTCTTCCATAGATCCCAAGTAGTATCATAATCGATTTTGTGGTTATCAAGAATATGTTCACCTTTCATTAAGCAAACGCTGGCATTGTTCATTAGACAAAGTTTTAGGTGAGTAAATTCATTTATAGTAATAACATTGGATGCATAACGAAAAAGGCTGACCCATTTGATCCATGCAAGAAATTTGACAACATTTGTTAGATCAACTAAATATCCTGTGAATACAAGCATTACAACACAAAATGAAGCTGAAACTAAATTGGCGACACCTGAACAGAGAAAATACATATAAATTAAACAAGTATTGATTATAAGAATCTTACCTATTGTTTCAACACTTGCTGAAACAAAAAAACACACTGATGCAGAGCAAACAGCTGTAGCAAATATAGCTAGTTGATATATGAGAAATTTCTCAATAGTTTGTTGAAATTGAATCATAAAGTAGGATATTAATGAGAAAACAATCGAAGGAAATAATCTTAATAGAACAATATCACACATTAATTTTGAAATAAAATACGTTGAAACCCGATAATAACCACTTATATTTTCATGAGCAAATAATACACGTTCTTTAATAAACAATTCCAATGCAGATAAATTTATGAATACTTCATTTGAAACAATGAAAAATATAGCACCTAAACGATTCTTAACTCCATTCTCAATTGTATGGTCGGTATTCATATACAGAAAACCAACAAGTATTGCTAAACATATTGGAACGACTGTTTGCATTATCATTAATGTACTATTACGAAATGAATTACGAAACGCTCTTTGAGATACATACCAGATTTCGACTAAACATGGCCGAGACAAAATTTTAACTTTTTTATTTACTTTTTCATCTGATGACTTAGTGGCGTCTTGAATTTGTTGATGAATCGAATCATTAATAGATGACTTTGTAAAAACGCTGTGTAAATATAGACAAATTTTATCTTTTCTCTGATCAGTTTCATTGTCAATATTATTAATGGGATATGATGCATGTCGTATACCCTGACATACATCTAAAATAAAATCAGCTGGATTATCATGTTCTTCACATGTGAAACCGATTGAAGAAAAAAATGGAAGAATATCACCAGCTGATCCATGATAAACGCAATGACCAGCGCCAATTAAAAGTAGAGTATCAAATAACTTGAAGATGGAATAGCGTGGTTGATGAATAGAAAATATTATTGTATCTTCAACATTAGAGAGAGAAAATCGAATAAAATATAGTTCATAATATGCAAATTATTGATTAAAACTTACGTCCTCTTTGAGACAATTGAGATAAACATTCGATTACATTATTAGCTGTTGATGAGTCTAGACCTTCAATAAATAATATTTTTTTGTTTTGATTTTCTCTTATGATGATGTTCAAACTTAACAGTTTCAAGAGTGGTTACTTTAACTTTTTCTATAGAAAACGTGATTATAAAAGTTGCTTATATTTTTTATGTTCTCATAAAAGAATTTTGAACAAGATACTCAGTCATTCATATTAGAAATAAGCTTACCACTGGTTGGTTCATCTAGAAGTAGAACTGTAGGAGACAAAATTAATTCCATGCCAATATTTGTTCTTTTTCGCTCTCCACCAGATACTTTTCGATTACTATGAGCTCCTATTTTGGAATCAGCGCATTTTTCCAATTCTAATTGTGAAATAACAAGATTAACAATATTCATTTTATCTTTGAAACCAATATTGCGTGGTAATCGAAGATTGGCTGAGAACATTAAATTTTCTCTAACAGATAATGTTTCACTGAGTATATCGTCTTGAACAACATAACCTATTCTTGAATTGAAATCCTGTCTATATGGTTGTCCATCTAGAAGCAGTTCTCCTGTTAAACCTTGTCGATCTTTTCGATTGCCTAATATATCTAATAATGTTGACTTTCCACTTCCTGTTGGGCCCATAATGGCGTTCATACCTGGTTTAAAAATCCCACTAACATTGTAAAGAATTTGTTTCTGTTGACTTTTCAAACAGAATGGAATAAAATAATTGTACCATTTTTTCGAGAAGACCTGATAATTAATTGAATTAAAACTTATTGTTGAACCGTGTATAACTTTGCTTTCATCTGGTTTTAACATAATCATCGTTTGAGTTTCTTCGATATCCATTCTTCTTCTATATTGTCTATTAGTAAAAGAACAAAAAATCTAAAAATCAACAAAAAAAACAAGTTATATAATTTAAATCACAACTATGACTAACTTTCTGTGCTTTCATGTTCAGTAAATTCTAATAATTATTTTTATCTATTCTCAATCAATGATCACAACCATTGACAATTATAGTATTTGTGTATCATAGGAAAAAATCATTATTTTAACTGTATTAGATTATAGCCGATAAATCATTGCTTTTTTTGTTAATTTCGTTAGTCTATTTTCTACTTGAGATTAGTCACATATTAATAATAATGAGTTGAAGTATTGCTAAATTCTAATGATAAAACTACATTCGAATATAAAACTAATTAAATGACCTGCTTGTCACTTAGCTTGGTAGCGAATTTAAGTAACAATAATCGGATATACTTATTAAATTCTACTAGGTATCTCTCAAATGTTCAATTTTGCACATAAATAATGCTTCTTAATATTCTTTTTTTTTCGAAACTCATTTATTTCTTCATAAAAACAAGATAAACAACAATAATTGACAATGAAAACTGCGAAATATAACTGATGAAATTTTTTATTTGATTATAAACGGTGGCATTTATTGCGAAGAATAAGATCGCAATAGAATCTCATACTATATTTTTCACAAAGCAATATGAGAAAACTCTTTTTATTCCTACGGTAATTTAGAATATTTTATACTGAATATATTCTATTTTATGTAAATAATGTTAAAATGAAAGCGGCTTCAGTTGTCAAATTTAGCAAACCATTGATTCAAAAGTCGAACAGAATTCTAAGTGATAGTAGAATGAATATTAACTATTTGAAAGTAATGCATGAGAATTAATAATTTTACTAAAACTGATAGAATTAAAAGGTAACTTACAACAGAGTCATACATCAATTTCATAAAACAAATAGTATTATTATTGATTAGATTTTAAATGTAAATAGTGAACGTTATACATAAGATTCGTAGACAGTAGCATATTTTGTGATTGACCATAGAGGACAAGATTTATACGTATGATACAATATGTATTTCAAATTGATAGTCGAAATGCAAAACTTTTCATGTTTTTCTTAATTGACACTTGACAATTACTATTGTTATAGGCGTAAATGTATACAATAAAATGAACATTTTTCAGTGTAGATTGACTAATTATCTTAATTTAAATGCTTGCAACGGATAAAATGTACATTTATTCCCTACAGTAAGTGCAATTTTGTTATATAAGTATAATGAAGGACACACCGGCGAAGAGAAAGAAAAGAAAAAATCGACTCACTCAATCCATCTGAGCACTTATCAACATCGTTACAATTCAAGTAGAATGTTGTCAAGCAACGAAGAAAAAAGATTTTTTTTCGAGACGACTGAGCAAAAAAAACAGAATCCGATCAAACTCATTGGTTCTTTGTCGAATTGACATTTCTTGCACAATTAGAAAATTTTGAGACGGTCCATCGGTTGTATTTTTATACACTCAAAAATCATTCAACCGAACCAAACCTATTTTGAATTAATGATAAACAATGATCGATACATTTTTTCTTCTCTTTACTAAAAGAACGATACAAAAAATAACTTGTCTTAAATATGCAAATAATAAAAAAGTATAATTCTTTTGTTACCTGAAGCGACCGTGATAAATTAGGTCTTTGAGGTCAAATTGGAGCTGAACTGTTACTTCCATATTTCGAAACACATTAATCTTAGCATACATGTTATATTAGAAAAAATTCATGAGGGCAATGCTACTTTTTCTAAGTAAGTGTTTGTTTTTCAAAATGTCTTCTTTTTTTTAACACATACGAACTGATTCAGTAAACGAAAACCTTGTTCACAAAAAAACAACTGCAAGAACAAGCTATACAAATAGTTTTTATGTTAATAGATGTCTCATTGAAAAAGAGTAAATACATATGATATTAAATCGACTTAATTGTACTGCTTTTCTAGTTTCTATTTTTGCTATGGTGACTTTTATCACGAAACTATATCGATAAAGAGATGTAGCCGTGCGATATGTACATTTCTAACGAAGTGATCATCTTAAAAAGTTCAATATTTAAGGCGTGGGGATGAGTGACAGATGTAAGTATGGATGGGGGAGGCGTAGAGAGTAACTTTTGGTTATGACTATCGCTTGATCTGGATCTTCTCGGCAACAAATGGTACTGAGCAGCAACTGTTGAGGGAGCAGTTGTCACAGTAGTATCGCTAGTGGACGAGATATACGAAATGTATCTATATAAAATGCTGCTTTGGCAGAAAAGGCAAAGATAAGACTACATTGATTTCGCTAATTATATGTACTTAATGAGCTCCATTGAGTTCATCAAATCACAGAATAGATGAAGTGGCTACAAATTAGTGGCACCATAGATTTATGGAACCAGTTGCTTTCTACCTAAGTACTATAGACTTTAAATGGGTATGAATGCCGAGTGTTGATATGGCAATGGTTACAAGGGAAGAGGCAACCATACGCACAATAGGATTAGCAACATTTCACTACAGCACCAATTCAAAATCTTACCGGTTATGAATAATGAATAACATTTCTCATTCACATACTTTTTTTAAATCTTAAAATATTTCAGAATCTACTTTAGCTCTGAATTTAATACAAAAATTAAACTATTTTGGAACTCAGTATAATTCATCTTCTTTTTTCTTATAATTAATGCGATGCGAAGCAGAAGCATTTATGTTATCCGTCGCGAGTTTTTTTTTTTTCTTTCTTTTTTACTTGAGATCGTACGCATCATTTTCGTCGTTTTC